CTGCCCAAAATCTAAAATTAATATTGCTCAAACTCTCTTAAACAATATACTTCTAACCAAACAAAAACTATACATTGAAAATATTCTTGCTCAAACCTTACTAAAAACAATTCTTATCAACCTGCTTTTCTATTACAATTAATTATTCAAGGTACAATCATATCTAACATATTTGAACCACTATATCAATTTCTAAAAAGCAATACTGTAAACTTCATTACTTCACTATCAAACAACCTTTTGGAATAGTTTTCAAAAAATATTTGGCTAGCAAGAAATGAGTTACAACACAAATAGAAACTAGCTTGTGGTATTACTTTCAAAACTAAACAAAAAAAATTATACTTTATACAAAACTCCTCTTGCCCCAAATCTTTAACTCAATTTAACAACAATATAGATCCTTACATCTTAAAATAGTATCTTCAAAACCATACAATTTACTCTGCCTTTACTAACTAACTTATTTCTTTTCTCCTTTTTCTCTTTTTTTCTTATTTTTACTTTTAGTTTTATTTTCTATTCTATTATATACTTCATCTTACACATTTATACATATATATTTTTTCTTTTATTTTATTTTTCCTTAAATCTTCTTCTTACTTTCTTATTTATTATTTTGTTTCTCTACTTTGAATCAACCAATTAACTATCTATATAGATTTAGGTTTCCTCTAGCCTTCTAAAGCTAATAAAAATTAACTAGATAGCTTATAAATAGAAAAATAAGAGATATTATGCCACACAAAATTCAGTAGCAATTTAGGTTGCGAGTAATAGTATTGCTTATTGCGTTGAATACTATGTAATTAATTAGGAATCTGTGCTTAGTTTTATATTATTGTAATATATTATCTTTTATGCTATTTTATTCCCAATTAGCATTAATAAAGGAGGAAAAAAAAAATAAGATCTTTGTCACTATGTACTATATTGTAAATACTATATTTACAAGAAGGCTATAATTACTTGTAATAATAGGCTTTTTTATATACTGTCATACCTCCCCAAACTAATATGCATGGTAGACCGATTTTGTATCAGTCTTGAGAGATTATCAGATTTGGAAAACATTATAAACTATTAGATTTATATAACAGAAATGGACTTTGTAGACTAATTTTTTATCAGATTTGACAGGTTATCAGTTTTGAGAGGATTGATTTAGGAAGGTTCAACAGTAGTATATTAATATTTTTTAATTATAATATATAAAAGATTATAATTTATAATAAAATAAGAATATAAATAATTTATAAGTTATTTTAAATCTATAGATATTTTACTAAGCCTTAATATTTCAACTACTTAAATTTCTTTAATCTTTCAACCTGGCTCTGCTCTTGATAAATTGCAACATATTGCTATTCAAAATAGTAATTTAAATAATTTCACTTTTTATACTAATAGTTCTGTTACAAACATGGCCAATCTCAATGCTTTATAGGTATATATTTTTTTTTTTTATTGTTAAAGACCGATGTCATAGTTGTTTAATGCTTTATTGTGTTTTTTGTATGTCTATATTGAGACATTTTTTGGTACATTATTTAAGTAGTCTACCCAAAGGTTCTATACTAGTTGCCATACCTGCAACCTACTAGGAGATTGCCTATTTAAACTCTCTAATTTTCTGCTTTATAGGTATTAATTAGTTACAAACTAACAACTATACAATACAATATATTTTTTAAACCCAAATTAAACTTTGGTTTTGCTTCTTTAAAGCTAAACTTTTTGCAATCCTGTTAGCTATTAATACGGTTCTTTAAAACTTCACTATTTATATTTATACTAATTCCTAATCTGTAATTTTAAAATACAATAGCCTTCTATATTCTACTATAACAAACTTCTCAAAAACTTTATACTAGTCTATTTGAAAAATATTCTTAAATCTCTGTTTCTTATTTAACCTTTTACTTTTCACAAAGTTCCAGTACATCAAGACAATAAACTTAATAACAAAGCTGATGAACTAGCTTATAACTACTCTAATATACTAATTCTTACTCTTAATTTTACAATATTTAATTTGTTTCTATTTTTAATAATTTCTTTCTCAAGCTTTTTGTTCACCATAGTATTTGAACTATTTGTAATACAAATATTTTTGCATGATGGTCCTCTCAATATTATTTCTAACAATGATTCTTTGTTTCTTAGAACATTCATTAAAGTACTACCTGGCTTTATTTTAACAATAATCAAAAAGTCTTAAACTTTGTGCATAGTTTTTAATTATTAATATTTAAAATATTTAGAGTTAAATTACTATTTGATAACTTCTTATTCTCACATATTCTTTATAAAAGATATTTTTTTTATCTTAATTTCTGTTATATTTGCCAACAATCTACTAATACACTTTACTAGGTATTTTGCTCTTTTTTTATCCTAATATTAAATCTTTTTAATATATGTATCTTTACAACATATTTTAACTTCTAGCAAACTTCAAATTTCATAAACCCAAATATATTATCTAATTAGCCAAATTAAAAACCTTGACAGCCTACAAACTCATACTTTCATCTTTAAACTATTACTATTTTTTACAATTACTGATCTTGATATTATAAACACTATAAAAGATTATATCTCCTCTAACAATTTTGTCTACCCTTTACTATTTAACTCCTTCTTTACTTTAACTAACAAATTTTAAAAATATTTGAATTCTCTTGCACTTCAAAATCACAATTCAATCTTGCTCCAAGTAATAATAACAATACTATTCTTGCTAATTTTACTATATTCCCTTTAAGTTCAACTCTTTTATTTGAAGATCCTTCTAACTTAGCTATTTAACTCATTTTGCAAAGTAGAAATTTAGTATTCCAACTGGATTACATTCTCTTTACACTCTTTCCTTATTTATTTTTACTTATTCTCAATCTAGATAAGTCTAGTAGGTTTAGGCTATAGATAAGTATTTAGATTTACTTAAATATATGTTTAAGTTTTTTTTTTGATTTAAAAGATAAAACCTTTTTCATTTATATAAAAAGTTTTTGTTAAATCTAATAAAGATAAGAGCATGGTCTTATCTTTAATATTAAAAAAAAAAAAAAAAAAACTATAGATATTTAAGTTCTCCAGGGTGGTTGTGGTTTTATTAGTAATATTTTGGCTGGCTATACTACTGCAAAAGTGATGGCCACCCTAAAGGGCTTATAGAAATTCACCAGTTTAAAATAATCTGTAAATTATTTATATTATCTGTTTAATGTTTGGTTTACATCACTACAATATAGATTTGAATATAGTTAATATATATATAAATGCAACTATATCAATATTTTTCTTGCATTGTTTTAAGCATTGTTTTAAATAAAACAAATTTTAATTATATAATATGATTAAATAATATTGTTAACAATATATATAGAGACAATTAAACAAAGTCAAATTTAAAAAAAAGTCTGAAGAGGTAAAAAAAACTATTTATTTGGCATTACTAGTTATTCTAATTTTTATTCTCATTTCTTTGTCCAGTGCTTGGTAAATTGAGATATTTACTTGTTAATAATTCAAAATTTAAATTCTTTTATTATAACATTGGCAAAGGTTAAACTTTTCAATCAAACCAGAGGTGTTCTTAAGTATAATAAAGGAATTGAATATAACTCTTTTAAATTATTTTCTTTCAAAAAATACATTATCAATTTTAACAAAATTTAATTTTGAATCTTTTAACATCTCTAATATAAATAAATGCTAAACTTTTAAAACTTAATTCCATATACGTCGTGGAAATAGATAAAATCTAACAATAAACATACAAGAAATAAAATAAATAAAACCCCAGAATAATAATGAAGGTCTTAACGAAAAATGAATTCATTGTAATTAATCTCATTCCTTGGGAAAATGTTATCACATGCTGAAAATTCAATGCATGTCATTCATCAAACATACCTAGCCTTCCCTTCGCGATTATACTTCCTTTCTTTTCTACTTTCTTCCAATACTTTATTGCACTCATTTTATCAATCTCTTGGCCAAACTGTCTATTAAATAAAATCTCTGCCCACATTTCTAGTGCTCTTCAATCCTCACGAATAACAGCCATTTTTAAATACTTACTGCCATTTTCTTCCGTTAAACATATCTGAATCATCGATGCTGTAAAGGTATATTTTTGCACAATATGTCTGTGCCTCTACTATCCCAGCATCTGCCGCTTGTTGGAGATAGACAATTGCCACATCATCATTTTTTGGAACGCCGTATTTACTCCCACCATGCAAATAATAGCCGCAATAGAATTTTGCTATTGCACTATCAACATGTGAAAGCTTGGCATATCATTCGAATAATGGAAAAGCCTCATTATATTTCTTTTTTTCGTGCAGCTTAATTATGTCTTTGATTGGAGGAAGTGGAAATGGTTCATCGAATGTATTTGCAACTATCTCACGCGGGATGCTTGTTAATAAAAGTGAATTGCAATTTTTTCGATATCCTTTTTCTAAATTAAGAAGCTTTTTTCTCATTTCTTCAATAGCTAGCCGACATTCTTTATTATGTGACTATCCTAGTTTTATTAGTTTGGAATACTCTAAAGGTGTGTTATCAGATCCACAAATCATCGTTATGGTTTGTCCCTAATATATATCAATGTAATTCCATTTCTGGAAAATTGCATTAACATTAACATCTGAAACTGTCATGCACTGTTATGATAATCTGAGAATATTAACAGAACCTCTATGAGCTAAAATTTACTTACAATTTCTCAATATTATTGCAATGCGATAATTTTACATCATTATAATATATTTATCGATAGTCTTGATCTCATCGTCACTTTCAATTTTTTTGACTGCAACCATTTGAGCAATATACATCATACATTTTACTTTTCCATCTTTTCCTCTTAGCTCTGGTTTTTCACCTTCATCATGAATAAGTTCAGGATCCAATTTTGTTTTGTTCAATTCAGATTCAGATGCTTCAATACCTTTTCTAATTGAACTTATTTCCTTATAAATTTTGATATTTAAAGGTATATTCATAATGTCCTTTGTATTTTGATGGAGAATGTCGATGTAATTGAGATTAAGTATATGACAGAAATTTACAATGTATAGTTTTTGTTTGGTTAGAAGTATATTGTTTAAGAGAGTTTGAGCAATATTAATTTTAGATTTTGGGCAG